AGAAAGAAAGAAAGAAAGAAAGAAAGAAAGAAAGAAAGAAAGAAAGAAAGAAAGAAAGAAAGAAAGAAAGAAAGAAAAGACATAAAAACCTGCACATAACAGTGGCATAACAGTCATTCTGAAAGTTTGAGGACAGTGAAGTTAGTGCTTGGCGACTGATCAAAAACCCTGTGCTTCACCCGCCCCCCCCCCCCAGTGTGCCGAGGAGGAAAGGCCGGGTGAACTGCTTCCGTTCAGAGGACAGCTTCGTTCGCCCTTGGGAAGCCCTTCCTGCTCCCTGGGAGTCGGAATCAGCTCCAGTCTACAGGCCTGGCTGTTTACGCTCCAGAGCGCTGATCTCATCGCTGGGCAGGAAGGAAGACAGTGCTGTTTCTCTAAACTTATATTAATTGTGTTTTTGTCGTCGTGAATACGCTCAGCCTTACCAGAAGGCGACACTTGAGTGGCACAGCGGCCTTCAGGGGTGCAAACGTCCTCCCACCTCCTCCTCTGAGCTGGCTGCCCTCCATGAGCTCAGCCTCTAAGCCCCGATTTGACCTCTGGGGTGGCTGCTGGCTCTTCGATCCACAGAGACCAGAATCAGGCACAGAGCCCACGGCGAGCCTCCTTCACCAGCCCTGCCGGTCCTAGGAGGACTGTCTGGTTTAAGGTTTAAAGGAAGCGTGCTGTTTTGTGCCACATCCGAAAGACGTGCATCAGGAGACTCCTGGTGGCACACAGCAGGGTCAATCAGACCTCATCCACAGCCACCAGGTGGACTCTGGTCACAGTGACCTGGGGGGACGGTGGAGCTCCCCCATAAGGTGCCCTTGGCTGTGAACCTTTATTTTATTTTATTCTTTTGTGTGTGTGGGTACCTTCAAACCGGATCTGACTGGTGTAGGAGGAGATTGTCCCTCCTTCTCCAGCAGAGCATCTGGTGGATTTGAACCACGTACCTCTGGGATTGCAGTACAGCTTCTTGCCACTAGGCCACCAGAGCTCTCCGGTCGTAAATCTTTATAGAACCTGATTGCCTCCTCTGTCTCCCTCTGAGCTGCTGATGGATTTGAACCACTGACCTTCCAGGTAGCTAATCGTTTAACACCGTGCCATCAGGACAGCAGGGCGGGGCAGGGCTGTGAGACGGGAGAGGCGCCTGGCTGACCGCTCTGTCTCTCGCAGGCCTTCATTGTGCAGACAGTGCTGCGGTCGCCGCCCGTCATGAGCCCCGAGGGCCAGCTGCCCCGGGACACGGAGAAGCAGCTGCTCATCTACCTGCGCGTGGCCACCTGGAACCAGATCCTGGACCCCTGGGTGTACATCCTCTTCCGCCGCGCGGTGCTCCGGCGCCTGCAGCCGCGTCTCAGTGCCCGTGCCCGGCCAGGGCCTCTGTCCCTGCGGCCCCAGCTCCCCCGAGAGGCCATGGCGCAGCAGGGCTGAGGGGGGGGACTCTGGCAGCCCCGGAGGACAGAGGGACAGTGGCTGTGCCAGAATAGCCCCCCGGGAGCCTTCCGTCCTCCCCAGAGGTCACATCTGGCAGCTTTGGGGTGCTGGGGTGCAATGGCATCACTAGTACAGGGTGTCACCTGTGTCGTATCTGCTGGTGTCAGGACCCCAGACTGAGCCACGTGGAGCACTCAGCAGTTTATTATCTATTTCAATCACTCAATAATACGTGCGAAATACGGCTGTAAATTCCTTCAGTGTTGTAACCCTTAGTTCATAGGAATGCTAATGGCATCATGGTTGTATAAAGTCTTTCTGTGTTGAATTATATTATCCGTTACAACAGTATTAGTAACGGAGGGGAAGCCTTCTTTTTAATTATTATTCTCCTTCTTTACCTTTAATTGTTACATCATTGCCGGAAAAATTACACTTGTAAGCTCACCTGTACTAAGTACCACAACATTGTAGCTAAAACATCAGAAAATTTTCCCATATTGGTCACTTTACAAACACTGGCAACAAGGAAAAGAGCAGCGGATACTTACAGCAAGTGCAGACACAGCCAGGCGATTCGAGGTCGCGCATACCTGGGGGACAGTAGAGCTGGGGACAGTGACCGCTCCGGCCACCGCACATCAGAGGGATCCAAATGCCAATTAGCTGCCAGCTTTCGCCTGTAGGTATGTTGCTACATAAAAGCTGGGCTTACGAAAGTGTTACTTAGGAAAGTTACGAAAAGTTATTGTAGCTAAGCTAAGAGGATATTTTTATAAAAAAGAATAAATGTGCAGTAGTGTGTGCAGGTCTCATTGTGGCTTTGGTGTACGCTCTCAATGTCACCTGGCGTGGCCTGCCTGACCCCGCTGATGACACCACTTCTGGGGTACACAGAAGCCTGGTGCAGTGGCGTGCCACGTCGTTTCTATCAGACCTGGGCCCCCCCAGCTCCTCCCAGATCCCCTCTGCAAACCCTCGTGCCTTCCTCAGCCCCCTCCCTGTTCTGAGCCCCTGGAATCCTCCCGACCCCAGGAAGCTGGAGAATGGGTGACGTTGTATTAAAGCTCAGGGTAAGAGGCCCTAGTGGTGCTGTGGTTAAGCGCTTGGCTGCCAGCCACGGGGTCGGCAGTTCAAGCCCAACGTGACTCCACGGGAGGAAGAGGCAGTGGACTGTCCCCTAAAACGACCCCCCACACACACACTGTGGGGCAGCAATCTGCCCTGCGGGGTCACGACGAGTCAGAAGCGAGGTGTGCTGAAGGCTCAGAGTGACAAGGCTCACCTTCCAGAAGTCTCCCCAAGGATGAAATCACCTCCTGAGTGGGGTACAGCTGACTCCCTCAGAGCCCCAACCTTGAAAGGGTTGTTGAGAAAGAAATTAATGTGAGCAGGGACAATGGGCCCTCTTTTGTCAAAATCTAACTAACCCAGCTTCGGGTCTGAAAGGCCTTGGGGGTTTTATGCACCAAATGACTGTCCCACCACAGAGGGCAGGTCTGGGCATGGGGCATAGAGGAGGGCAGGGCTCTGGCCTCTCCCCACCTCCATCACAGAGTGTTTCCCTTCACTGTGCAAGCCTTGTTGTTGTTGCTGTTGTTGTTGTTATGCTCCGTTGATTCACCTGTGACCCAGAGCGACCCTATGTACAGCATCTCTGAACCCCGCCCTGTCCTGAGCCAGTCTCACTGATTCTGACACACTAACCCCCATCGCCCAGTTCTGTACCAATTCATCTCATCCAGGATCTTCCTCTCCTGCACTGTCTCTCTGCCCTTCCACCTAATCCAGGCTATGGTCTACACAATTACTTGCTATGCATCAGAGAGCTGGACAATGACAAAGGAAGACAGAAGAAATCGATGCATTCAAGTTGTGGTGATGGAGAAGAGCCTTGAACATACCATGGACCACCAAGAAAACAAATAGATCTGCCTTGGAGAGGGTGAAACCAAGTTTCTCCTTGGAGGCTAGGATTTTGAAGCTCCATCTCACACACTTTGGACACATGACCAGGAGGGACAGGTCCTTAGAGAAGGACATCATGCTCAGAAGGGTGCAAGCCCTGGTTCCTTATATTCCCCAGCCACACTTACAGAGCAGTTTTAAGATAACTACCTATAGGGTTGAAGTCAAGGACCTCTTTAGAGTGTTGAAGAGCAATGATGCCAGTCTAAAGACTAAGGTGAGCCTGATCCGAGCCATAGTCTTCTCAGTTGTTTGCGACTCATCTGAGAACTGGACTAAGGATGACGGAAGAAGAATCCATGTCTTTGCACTGTGATGTGCTGGAGAAGAGTATTGAACATACCATGGACTGCCAAGAAAACAAACAGGTCTGTCCTAGAGGGGGTGAAACCAGGTTGTTCCTTGGAGGCTAGGATTTTGAAGCTCTATCTCATATACGTTGGGCATAGCACCAGGCGGGACCAGTCCTTGCAGAAGGACATCATGCTTGCAAGGATGGAGGAACGGCACAAGAGAGGAAGAGCCCGGATGAGATGGATTGACAGTGACTGTGGCAATGGGCTCAGGACAGGGCAGGGTTCAGCGCTATTGTTCGTAAAGTCACTATGAGTTGTAGTCAAGTTAACAGCACGTAACAACACACAGTTGAGTGAAGGATCTATGTGAGAGGTTCGGGCGAAGTAGACACTTCCTCAGCCCCCATCTCACACCCTTCTGGGTGTTTTTCATTCATTCATTCATTCACCTGTCCACTCTACTGAGTCAGATGCCCGGTGCCTTGAGCAGCACACCCAGGCGGACCTCAGGGGGACGGAGGGGTCAGCCCCAGGGCCACACGAAGCTTTCTGTTTCTGGGTGCTGCCTTCATGCGACCATGTGAGGAAAATGTTGGGAACAGTGTGATGGACCGCGGAGGGACACAGGGAGTGAGCACAGTGGCCCTGGGCTGCCCGAGGGGCTGCCACAGCCTCTCGTGAGGGCAGTGGTGGCGAGGCGCGCTGGCGAGGAGGGGGCAGTCGGGTTTCTGTTGGGCACCGTGCACGCTGTGGCACCAGCTAGCGCACACGTGACGTTAACAAAGTGACTTGTCCCCACACTGCTGCACTCAAGCCCTTCTGACTCCTGGGGACCCTCCACCTTCCCCCCAGGTTTCTGAGGCCGTGGCTCCTCCCATGGGGAGACTGCCTCATCTCTTCTGTGGAGCCGCTGCTGGATTCGAACCACCAACCATTCAGTGAGCTGCCAACACTCACTGTACTACCCCGCACAGCAGGTGTTCAATAAGCACTGAGTGTTGGCCTCATATTCCATCCAGCCCCCAGCGCCCCCCGGAAAGGACACATCAGCTACAAGGGTGGGAGGTGCCTTTATTCACACCAGCCCTCAAGGTACATGAGGATGGAGCTCCTCCTACTCCCCACTCCGCCTCTGCCCCCCCTTTTCCCCTCCAAGGCCTGAGATCCACTTACACTGCTCAGGGCCAGGCCCAGATGAAACTGGACCCCCTGTTTCCACCCTCCCCCCGAATCACTGGGGAATAAGGTCACCTGCTTCTTGGGGACTCAAGCTGGAAGGGTCAGGAGGGGGATGGGGGCCACTTTTCTAAGGAGGCCAAATGTCCTGGTCACCCCCAGGCTATGGCCGAACATGCTGCAAGAGGGGCTCCAAGTCCTTCTGACCAGGCCCAGGTGCTGACTCTGGGGGCCTGGAGGAGGGGGCAGGTCTCTGAGCTGGGAGCTCGGGGGACTCGGAACTCAGGAGGACACTGGGAATGGGACAGGGAGTAACAGATATAGCAGGTGGGATGAACTTTCGGGGTCCCAACTGGGGCTTGGGGGAGAGGGCTGGTTTCTGGGAGGAGGGGGCTCGTGGCTTTGCGGCCAGCTGGGAGGCTGTCGGACACTGGGCTGGGGCTGGGCTGGCCTGCGTTCCACGTACCAGATCATGGGGCTGATGCGGGGGCCTTGGGACTTTGCTGGAGGCTGGAGTTGGAGCTCGAGGAGGGGGGCTTGGGGGCTGACGTTGGGTTGGGGGCTTGAGTTCAGTCGCGGTGTTAGGGTCAAGGCCAGGGGTCTGTGAGCGAACACCATTTCTAGAGCTGAGCTGGATTTGTGGGTTTGTATGGGCTCTGGAGCTGGGCTGGGCTTCAGAAGCGGGCTGCATTCTGGAACTGGAGTGGGCTCCGGGTCTGGACTGGATTCTTGAGTGGGGCAGGGCTGTTGACTCTAGCTGGCTTCCAGCGCCCAGCTGAGTTTCAGAGCTTAACTGAATCCTGGACCTGAACTGGGCTCTAAAGCCAGGCTGGCTTCCAGAGTTGAGCTGAGCCCCAGAGCAGGGCTGGACCTCCGAACTGAACGGTATCTTGGAAATGAAGTGGGTTCTAGGGCTGGTCTGGGCTCCAGAGCTGAGCTGAGTCTCGGAGCTGGGCTGGACCCTAGAGCTTGGATCAGTTCCGGTGCTAGAATGGGCCTTAGCACTGAGCTGGGTCTCAGAACTGGGCTGGACCCCAGAGCTGGGCTCGGTTCCGGCTCTAGAATGGGCCTTAGCACTGAG